CAGCCCACCACGTGGCCCTGGCTGGACTCGCTGGCCAGGTGGGTCCTCATGTACTCGGCCACGCCGCGCTGCAGCCCCCAGACCCGGTACTTGCTGGCCAGCTGGTGCATGGGGATGGCCTGGTGCAGCAGGATGGAGACCCCCCCGCAGTACAGGTACCTGGGGCAGAGCATGGGGTGGTGACACTGGGGACAACCATTCCTGGCAGCTCAGTTCCCAAGGGAGCAGCTTCTGCCCTGAGCTGCTTTCCTCGATTATTCCCACCCCACGGTTCCCAGGGAAGCATTCCCTCTCTTTGGGTGCTTCCCTCTGGGTGTCCCCATCCCATGTGATCTCCATGGTCCCCAGGGGCGGACCCTCCTTCCTTGGCTGCATCCCTCGGGGCATCCCCATCCCGTGGAGTTCCCCTGGTTCCCAGGAGAGCTGTGCCCTCCTGACCTCTCCATCCCACGGGGTCCCCACGCACCTGATGAACTTCTCAAAGAGCGCAGCGGTCTCGGGCGGCTCGTACAGGGTCACGACGCTCTGGTTGCGCAGGAGGCTCTCGAACACCTCGCTCTGGAGGCTCAGCAGCAGCTGGTGCGTGTGGAACACCTTGGGCTCGTCGGAGGCGGCCGAGCGCACCCGCAGCACCGAGTCGCTGCCATTGCCGTTCTGCAGCAGCTCCTGCAGCCGCTGCAGCAGCGTCAGCGAGTGGTTGATGGTGGCCGCCGTGGAATCTCCGCTAAAATCAGCTTTTTGGGCTGCAGAACCAAGAAATGGGACCGTCCCAGAGCTCATTCCAGTTCCAGGCACTGAGGTGCGGTGAGGTTATGGGGGGCTGTGCACCTCCTGCCTCCGCTCCCCCAGTGCCAAAGCTCTGCTGGTGCCAAGGGGGTGTGGGTGAACAAAGGACATGGGGACATTTGTGTCCCTGAGAGCCAAAAAACTGCCTTTCTGCAGCAGAAGGGCTGAGACCACCATGTCCCAGGCTGGGGTGTGCTGGGAAATGGCCGGGTGCCGGCGGCGCTGGCTCTCAGCCCGGTCTGCCCGTCCTGATCCCGTCCCCGCTGTGGACAGAGCGAGCCCCGGGCATTGCCCTGATCCCTCGCATCCCACATGGATACATGGGGGCACAGAGAGCCCGTGGGTATGGGGAGCCAGGCACCCTCTGCCCCGCATCCAGGAACGGGGTCGAGAGCAGCCTGGGGACACCGGCTGCCCTGGTGTCACCGCATGTCCATGCTGGGATCCCAACAGGCACAGGAGAGGGATCTGGGAATGTGGAACAGGAGTCTCCATGCTCCTGTGGGCATGAGATCCTTTCTTCCTCTCTTCTCCCTCCTGACACCTCTCCCACCCGCTCCTCGGAGCATCCTTCCCTCAGGAGGAATTTGGCCCCGTCTGTCTCAAATCCATCTTGCCTCTCAAATCCCGTCTTGCTGACGGATTACCCTTCCCAGCGCCGGCTTAAGGCCGGCTGAGCGGGGATGGGGAAGGGGAGCAGGCACCCTGTACCCCGCGGTGCTGGACTTATCTGCCCGCAGCACCGAGCCCTTCCCGGGGCACCAGCGAGCAAAACCGAGCTCCTCCGAGAGCGCAGCACATCCAGGAGCCACTTCCATCCCCTCTCGGCACCCCGACGGCAGCCGGAGAGACGCGCTCCGCTCTCCATCAGCCTCCGAGCCGCGCCCCGGCACCCGGCGAGGGCAGCGGTACCCACTGACCCTTCACGCCTCCCCCCTCCACGGCCACCCTTACCGGCTTTCACGGTGAAGAGGAGGAGGAGGAAGGCAGCGGCACATCCCCAGCGGCGGGTGGCCACGGGCCGGGTGCCCGTCAGCCTGGCCATGGCGTCGCAGGCGCATCTGCCGGGTGCGGCGCACGCTGCGAGCCCGGGGCTTATGTAGGCCACGCGCCCTCCCGGCCCGCGCGCCCGCGCCGCCGCATCGATTGGTGGAAACTGGGACCGGCCGTTGCCACGGGAACGGCTTCCAGCCTCCCTGCATCCCACCCTGACCCCCAGCCCCAGCCCCGCACCCCGGGGTGCTCCGGCAGGGAGTCCCGCTGCAAGCGACGTCGCCGTGTGGCACCTGCCGCTGGCACCGCCGAGCCGGAGCCCCCGGGCGTGGCCGCGGCCCTTTGTGCCGGGGGCTTTGCATTCAGGGCACAGCTCGGTGGCCTCCCGCTCCCCCCGGCTCATGGGTATTCATGCCGGCAGCAGCCCATCACCATGGCATCCGCGCTGCCGGCAGGAACTGCCTGCCCTTTTCCCAGCCTTTGCAGCCAAGAGGCCGCCCGTGCGCCCTGTGCGGCCTCCCTGGCCCCCCGCCCGCCACGACGCCTCTTGAGGGGCTTCATCGTGGGGCTGGGGGCAACCCCCAAAGCCCCAGTGCCACAGCACAGGCTGGGGTGGTACTGGGTGAGCAGGGTGTCAGCCGAGTGGTGACAGCCCCACTTTGGCTATGGCCCCGGTGGCACCATTGGGTGGGGTCCCAGGACCGCAGGCTGAGGGGACACATCCCATAGAGGAGGCAGCACAGCTTGCAGGGGCACAGCAGCCCCTTGCCCACTGCCCCGTCCCCCTGCACAGCAGTTCGATTACAGGTTTAGACGCGGTTTCCAGATGTTGATCGTGGGCAGATGTTGCTGCAGCTGCCGAGGGTGTGGGATCACCATCTGTCCCTGAGCCACGGAGACTGAGGACAAGACACCGATCACCCCCATGCCGCGCTGCTGGGGCTCCCTGGCCCCTTGCAGGGATGGGCAGGTAGGCGATGCTCAAGCCATGTTCCCCTACTGGGCAGGAGACCCCCAAAATCACGGTGCCAGCAGAGTGCCCAGCCCTGGCGGGTGTCCTTGCACCGTGGGGGCCCGGGGGACAGGGCCCCCGTCACGGCACAGCCGGTTCACGGCTCAGCGCGTCCTCCGACGCCTCATTTCACCACCCTCCTGATAAACAACAGCTTGTGTGAGCGTGTGCCCGGTGTGCCACCGGCACCGCGCCAGCCCGGGCGGCAGCCACAGTCCGGGGACCCCTGTGTCCCCCGCGGGGACATCGGTTGCTCACGGAGGTGAGGCGACCGTGGAGGGACACAGGGGAGCATGGGGTTGGTTCTGGAGGTGACCAGGGGACAGGGTGACATTCCTTAGCCCGTGGTGAGGTGAGGGAGCAGCTGTGCTGGCCCGGAGATTGCGGCTGAGGCGGGGCAGGGCTGGCTCACCATAGCGACCTGTGCCAGGCAGCAGTGCCAGGGCATCGTCCCCGAGGTCTGGGGGGCACTGGGGAGACGGAGCTGAACCCAGAGACCGACAGGGGACAGCAGCCCCTCCCTGTGCTGCTGGGGAAACTGAGGCACGGTGTCCCGGCAGTGGGCACTTCGGAGCAGCCAGGGCAAAGCCCAGCAGGGACACGCAGGATTCACACTCGTGCGCACAGCCACACCTCACACCCTGCGCACACCCGCTCCTCAGAGGTGCCCGCAGACCCAGCTGCCCACTTGCTCCCGGACCACCGTCCCTACTGCTCTGTCACGGTCACTCGGAGTTTCCCGGTGACCCCTTCCCTGGCCTCCGCGGGAGCCAAGGGCCGGTGACGTCCCTGTGCCCAGCCAGCCCAGCCCGCGGCTCTGCCCGTGGCTCTGCCCACGGCGCTCTCCCTCCGCCCCGTGTCCCGCGCCCTGGGAGGTTGTGCCATGCTGCGGGTGCTGGCAGGGACAGAGACACTGGCACGGACACGGGCACCAGCGAGGACGGGGACACCAGCGGGGACACGGACCCCGGAGAGGACACGGACACCTCCGGGGACACGGACAGCGGTATGTCCGTGGGAAGCGCAGGGAACTCGCACTCCCGGCGGGTGGCACTGGGGCCACCCAGGTGAGAGTCCCTGTTCCCCAGATTTTGGGGAGCGGGAGCCCGGGCAGGGGGAGCAAAGGGGGGCCCAGAGTGAACCCGCCCCTCCACAGCAGCACAAAGGAGATCGGGCTGGGAAGGGGTTAAGGCGCTCGCACCGCGGCTGCAGCAGATCGATGTCCCAGTTCCGCGGGGGATGTGGATGGATGGGACCTCCTGCTGATGAGCTGGAGCTAATTTGCAGTTAATTGGCACCCCTCTGCTCCCCCATTCCTCCCTTCTTTTCCCTCGGGCTGCGCTCAGGATCTTGCTTGAGTCCCGGCCGGGAGTTCCAGGGTCGAGGAGGTGGGACCCCCAGGATCCCACACACACCTCGGGCACTTCTGCGGGAGCAGATCCATCACAGGGGGTCCCGGAACGGGAGAGAGACGTGATGGCCCCTTCAACCCCTGCCCCGAAACCGTCGAGTGTCTGCGGTGTCTGGGACAAGGGGAATTTGGGGTCCCTCTGGGGCCAGGGTCAGAGTGGGAGCAGCGTGGTGCCCGTGTCCCCTCCCTGAGCTCAGGACCCCCCTTGGCATCCCAAAACCCCGCATCCCAGGACCTCCTGCACCGCAAAACCACCAGACCCCGGACCCACTCTTCACCCCACAAGCCCAGGACCACCCGGACCCCACAACCCCCCATCCCAGGACCCCCGGACCCCACAGTCCCCGATCCCAGCACCTCCCATCATCCCGCACCCTCCCCAGGCACTGGGACCGGGGGCGGCAGACCCTCAGATGCAAATTTGGGGGGGATTCTGACCAATCAGAACGCAGTGCTCAGCTCTGACCTCATCACTCCCGGGGAACCCCTCTCCGATTGGGTGGGGCCTGGCTCCCCTGAGCCAATAGGAACGCAGAGCTCGGGAGGGGGGTGGAGCTTCCCTGGTTTATGAATGGGCGAGGGCAGCGTGGGCACGATCCGGGCGTGGGGAGTGGGCAGAGGGATGGGGCAGGGAAAGGGCAGAGATCGGGCAGGGATGGGCCAGATACGGGGCACGGATAGGGCACAGATAGGGATGCGGATACGGATAAGGATAAGGATCCGGATACGGGCAGGGCCGTGGGCAGGGCCGCTGCCAGGCTCCTCCAGCTCCGCTGTCTCTGCCTGAGGAGCTGAAAAAGGACCTGGTTGGCAGCCAGCAGATGGCCACCCCACATTTGGCACCACTGGGGACCCCCCATCGGCACCTCTGGGTCCTCTCTGCCACCACTGGGAGCTGTCTGGTGGCACCCAGCCCGGGCTGGGGGCCAGAGCCTCCCTCTGCTGGCAGCTGCCCAAGAACATGGTGTTTTAATCCGGTTTTCTACAAAAAACGGGGCGGAGGGATAAAGAAGGAGCAGCTCCGGTAGCGGGGGCTCTGCCGGGACATGGCCCAGGGAGCTTGAGGTGCATTGTCCCCCATGGGTGCAGCAGCCTCAGCTCTGCCTGCAGTGGCACATTTTGGAGCTGCTCACTGTCCTTGGATGCTACAGGAAAGGGAGCTGGGATCCAGCTAAAGTGGGGACGCCCAGGTGATGGTCCCTGTCCCCAAGCCCCGAGTGGTGTGTCATGGCTGACCTCCCGCCCAGGTGCCCTCAGGACCCTCTGCCGCTCCCTGTCTCTCCTCACAGCCGATCCGTGGTGGAAGATGACGGTCCTGGTTCCCAACAGCACCGCGGTGTCGTGGGCATGGTCAGAGCCGGAGCCAGAGCTGGAGCGCTCACCCTGCCTGGTTGGCATCGTCCCCATCGTGTATTACAGCGTCCTGCTGGGGCTGGGGCTGCCAGGTGAGGGGGCTGGAAAGAAAAGTCTTCAGGATGGAGGGACCTTACCTGCTCCCCTCCAGCTTTAGACCTGGCCTCAGTGCCCGGCCGTGCTGCCTGGACCTAGGGCAGGTGCCACCGCCATGGGGACAGATGGTATTTGCATTGCTTGAGCTGGCACACAGAAGAGATTAATCAGCCCAGCAAATCCCCGCAGCACTGGGATATTTATATCTCCCCTCAGCTGGAGCCTGGGCAGCCCTGAGGTCCGGGAGCTGTGGGTGGGGGTAATGTGAGCCCCCAGCTCTCACCTCCACCCATCGCTCCCCTCCCTCTAGTGAACATCCTGACCGCCGTGGCTCTGTCCCGACTGGCCACCAGGACCAAGAAATCATCGTACTGGTACCTGCTGGCCCTGACCACCTCCGACATCCTCACCCAGGTTTTCATCATCTTCGTGGGCTTCATCCTGCAGACAGCCATCCTGGCACGGGCAGTGCCCAGCGCCTTCATCCACACAGTCAACGTGCTGGAGTTCACAGCCAACCACGCGTCCACCTGGGTCACCGTCCTGCTGACCGTGGACCGCTACGTGGCCCTGTGCCACCCTCTGCGCTACCGCACCGTGTCCTACCCGCGGCGCACCCGCAAGATCATCGCGGCCACCTTCGCCGTGGCACTGGCCACCGGCATCCCCTTCTACTGGTGGCTGGACATGTGGCGTGACGCCGACCCCCCCACGGCGCTGGACACGGTGCTCAAGTGGCTGCACTGTGTCACCGTCTACTTCCTGCCCTGCAGCATCTTCCTGGCCACCAACTCCATCATCATCCGCAAGCTGAAGAGGCGGAGGCGCGCAGGGGGTGGCAAGACCACGGCCCTTCTGCTGGCCGTCACCACCGTCTTCGTCGTGCTCTGGGCTCCCCGGACCATCGTCATGATATGCCACCTCTATGTGGCCTCGGTCAGGAGGGACTGGCGCGTGCACCTGGCCTTGGACATCGCCAACATGGTGGCCATGCTCAACACCTCCCTCAACTTCTTCCTCTACTGCTTCGTCAGCCACACCTTCCGCCGCACGGTGGGCGAGGTGCTGCGGGGACAGCCCCGGCAAGGCTCCTTCCGTGGCAGCGCTCACTTCCCACCTCCAGCCCTGAAACAGCTGAAGCTGCTGGGCAGCACCACGCTCTGAGCCAGGGCAGTGCCCGGCGGGCAGTCCTGGTGCCCATCCAGCCCCACGCACTGCACCGAGACCCAGGGACTCCCCACCCTCCACGGAGCCAGGGTTAATGCTGCTGGTGCTGGCAGGAGGAGCTGGTTGTGCCCAGGCACTCATTTGGGAATATTTTGTGGTGCCTGCCTGGCAGCCACATGCCAGGATGGGCAGCTCAGCCCTGCCCATGCTCAGCCCCTTGCTCAACATTGGAACTCATGCAGGGACCTCATCCAGGACATGCCTCAGCTCAGTGGCACCGAGGGTCCCGGGGAGCCCAGGGGCTGCCCGTGGTGAGGGGTAGAGGGCACGAGTGAGTTCGTGCGAGCCCTGACAAGGACGTGGTGCCCACTGGGTGCCACTCCATAAACTGCCGTGTTGAGACCAAAACTCTGCCTGCTCTGGCTCCCTGCGGGCAGCCGGAACGGAGGCACCCGGCACCAGCACCTCCGGCACACGGTCCCTCTGCCCTGCCCGCCCCCGTGCCCCTGCCCTGCTGCCCAGAGTGCTGGAGGGAGCACCCACAGGGTCTGCTGTCCTCAGTAGTGGCGTTTGGACACGCGGTAAGATCACAGCTCCTGGCCCCCACCCATTAATCCCCCTGGCTGCAGCCCGCCGGGCAATGCTCCCTTGCATCGGGTGCACCCAGTGCTGCCCTCCCAGTTACACCAGTGCCAAACTGGTGTGACACTGGACGAGCGGTCGTGCCGTGCCAGCCTGTCCGCAGCTGCCAGCAGAGGGCAGGGATGGGACACTGCGGAGCTGGCACTGCCGGGGCAGGGAGCTGGCACCCCCAGACCCCAAATCAGCCCTGCCGCCACCCTAATTCCCCTTAAGGACCTTAGCGTAATCCCCCCAAACCGTCCAGCTTTTCTGCACGGATTCCTGAAAAGGGGCAGGACAGACCCAGGGGGTGCTCGGGGGTGGGATTCAAGATCTCAGTCGGCTTCTGGCAGGGCACAGAGACACCCCCAAACCCTACCAGACCCCCTGCCCGTCCCCAAGCCCTGGCTGTGCCCGCACTGGGGTGGGGATGGGGCGCAGCCTTTGCCCCCAGGGTGTGAGGCTGACCCACTCACGGACCCACCCTGCCCCCGCACTCGAGTCATTCTCCGGTGTGGACAGACCCCGCCGGGGATGTCACTTCATCCCAGGCCGGATCCCTCTCGGGGGACAGGGTTAAAGCCCGACCCGGTGGCGCGAGAGGTACCTGGGAGGTTCTCGCTCCATTAATTCTGGCACGTGAGGAGAGCAGAACCGGGAAGGGATTAGTTATTAACCCGACTGCGGGCAGGGGCTGAGGGGCCGCGGGGCGGGGGGCTCATCTGCCTCGGCAACCCTCGGCAGGAGCTCCGGGATTGCCACCGGCCCCCCCGATTGTCACCGCCCCCCCTGTGCCAACCGGTGCGTATTTACTTGGCAAAGGAGGTGGAAATGTGCTGACGGCGTCCGCCGGCGCGAGGGGCTCCGCTGGGAACGGCTCCGAGCCCCGGCCGGAGCGGAGGGAGGCTCTGGGAGGGCAGCAGGGACCCCCGGCTCCAGGTCCGGCTCTCGCCTTCCCGAGGGGAGCCGCCGCGGAGCCGGGGTTCAGCCAGCCGTGCCACCGTGCCAGCCGTGCCAGCCGCCCGTCCCTGCGGCTCCCGAGGAAAGGTAAGCCTGGAAAAAATGCGCCCGGCGTGCTGATGTTTTCGGATAGAGCCTGGCCAGGGTCCAGGTCCCGGTGCTGAGCGACATCGCAGCCCCTCATAGTGGCCTCTGTGCTGGAAGGACCAGTTCTGCCCAGTTCCACAACTGGGATCGCGGTTCCAAGCCCACCCAGAGCACCGGGAACTGGGATCGGGCTCTGTCCGTGCCGGGAGGTCAGGGACGGGGATCCACCGCCCTGAGAGGGCAGCACATGGTGGGCATCACCCCCCGGTGACCCCACAGCTTGTTGGGGTCTCTCTGTAGAACCTCTAAAAACGCCGGGAGCAAGCAATGGGGGCTGGAAAGGCGGGCAGGGTTCCTGTGGGAAGGGGGAGCAGAAAAAGCGCACAGGGGGTGGAACATGAGGGTCTGCGTGGGAAGGGGTCTGAAATCACCCGCCGTGGGGGGATGGGGAGGGTTCCCATGGGAAGGCGATGAGGAAATCACCCGCCAAGGAGGGGGACACAAAGCCAAACGCTGTGCGGCCGCCGGGCAGCCTCGGCGGGACGGACGCCTGCCGGTGGCCCCACGGGGGGTCACGGGGGTCTCGTGCTGACTCAGCAGCCGGGAAAGCCTCCGGCGGAAGGAAGCAGCCGGTGGAGAGGCCGGGCTGCGCTGTGGGGGCGGCAGGACAAGCGGCCTCCGCTCCCGGCACCGCTTATCCAAGGCTGAGCCTTTCCCGGCTGCCCAGCTCTGGAGAATTCCAGAATTTCAGTTTCCCCGGGTAAACTGAGGCACGAGGGCCGCTGCAGAGCCCCTCGGCTGCACTGGGATGATCCAAGCCCAAACATCATCCCGAAGCCAAAGGATCCTTCGGAAGGGGGCGGGAGGGTGGCGGTGGCTCTGAGCCTGGACACACCGTTCTGTCCCCGGGGGCTCCGGCGGGCGCCGCTCCTTGTGCCGCCGGTTCCGGTGGGATCCGGTCCTGCCGCTGGAGGCTCTGCTGCCCTTTCTCCCCGGATTGTTTTCATCCCGGCCTGGATTGGGGCAGGCCCCGCCGGAGGCACATTGAACTTTCCTCTGCATCCTTCACCCTCTTGCTTCACCCTCCCGAAATAGCAGCGCCTGCCTGGAAACCTCTCCAAGGGCTGGCGGGGCCCCCGGGGTGCCCCAAATCTTCCAGGGCTTTTCCCCATCCTCGGGGATGAATGGGGTGATTGTGAGGTGCCCATTCCAACTCCAGGGTCGCAGCCACCCCCGTCGGGACAGAGACCACCAAACACTGCCAGTGCCCTGAGCTGGGGGTGCCCTGCTCCCTGGCTCTCCGCAGAAAGGGCTTCTCTGGGCTTTTCTGGGTTTTTCTGGGTCCTGCTGCCCTGCCAAGGGCTCCGGCTTTATCCATCAGCTGACATTCCTGCAGGAGGCCCCTCCAGGCCGGTTATCCTTACACGGTGGGGGCGCCTGTGGAGCGCCACTCCCGGCTCCCACCCCAGAGCCCACCGGAGGTGGAAGATCCCGTGTGGGTGACACAGACCCCGCTGCTCCTTCCCTTGTCCCCTGAGGGTGTTTCCTGATGTGCAGCGCTGAGCAGGGCCGGGCTGAGACCCCCAGACTCATCACACCGATGGCCAGGTGGGCTCCCCCATGTCCCGCCCCTCCCAGTGCGGGTTCTTCCTCCCCACCAGCCCCCTCCGTGCCCCGGTGCTGCACCCCCGCCGGTGCGGGACCCCGCTGCTCCCGCCCGGTGCGGCGGGGCAGGTCCCGGCCGGCCCCAATCGCGCTCCCGGGGCTGAGCCGCACCTCGGGGAGGGGCCGGGCCAGGCAGGCGCACGGTGCGGCGGCACCGGGGCTGGCTCGGCTCGGCACAGGGGGAGCGGAGCGCCAGGCACCGGGGGCTGCGGCCGGTGAGCGGGGCGGGGGAGGCGGGGGCGAGCCCTGTGAGACTGAGGGGCACCGGCAACGCCGACGGGAAGAGACCGGGACCGAGAGCCGTCCGCCCCCGCAGCTCCTCCGGCCGGAGGGTTGGGGGCGGCTCCGGCGGAGTTTCGGGGCCAGAAGCGCCGGGAAGCGCCGGGACGGTGCGGGATGGGGGTGCGGGAGGACCAGGAGGGGGGAACCGGCGGGAAGGGCAGGGGAAGCGGGACGGGAGTGCGGCGGGACCGGGCCGGGGGAGCGGGGGAAGCCAGCGGGCGATGCGAGGGACCGGGCGGGGTTGCAGGAGGAGCAGAACTGGGGACGCGGGTGCAGCCGCCGGGGAAACCGGGCGGAGGGTGCGGGGGTACCGGGCTGGAGGTGAGGAGGAAACCGGGCTGGGGACGCGGTGGGAACCGGAGGCGGAGGAGCTCCTGGAACCCGCGGGCACAAGGACTCGGTCCCAGAGTGGTTCTGCGGGTCCCTGTCCCCATCCTGGGGCTGGGGGGTGCCTGGTTCGGGGTGCCCCTTGGGGAACCGGGGCTCCCGGCCCTGGCATGTCCTTGCTGGGGTCTCCTCCCGGTGTCCTCCCCCTGCAATGAGGCTGCAGCTTTCTCGCTGCCTCCTCTTCCCCGTGCCCACCATGGGGTGGCAGGAATGGGGTGGACACGGTGGGGACAGAGACTGGGACTCCGTGCCGTGCCGTGCCATGCTGTGCTGTGCCAGGCTGTGGCTGCCTACGTGCCAGCGGGCTGGACATGCAACCTGCACTGGGCTGGTGCCCAAAGCCAGGGGGAAGTGGGACGGGAGAAGTGGAAAGAGGAACGTGGTGACACGGAGGGACAAGGCAAGGTGACATCCCTGTGCCCCAGTATCACCTCTGCCATCTGGTCTGGGCCCACATTTGGTGTTCCTGGGAAGCCGTCAGGCACTGGAGGAAGGGATCAGGACAGCCCCAGAGAATTCCCGTGTTGGGAGGGATCATGTGGGGCACTGAGAGGCTGAGCCCCTCCTCAGCTGCCACCAATCTCTAGGCGAGATGGGGACGTGTGGCTGCCTGGTCCCATCTGCAGCTCTCTGGCCACGTTGGGTGAGCTCAGCTGTGCCAACAGGGCAGAACTCCCCAGGACCCCCCTGCTCACCATGGGATGCCCACTGGGGACCACAGGCAGGGATGCTCCAAGCCAGGAGCTGATCCCCATCCCCAGTGTCTGTGCCCTGACCCCGCTGTGTCCCACAGGGTCCCTGGATGCCACGGTGCAGGATGAGCACCACGGCCGTGCTGCTGGCCCTGCTCCCCACGGCCACCACGCAGTCCACGCCACCCCCGGGCTGCGGCCAGGACCTCTCCTCCCTCTACTACAACCTCTGTGACCTCTCAGCAGGCTGGGGAATCGGGGTGGAAGCAGTGGCCAGTCTTGGCGTGGTGACCACCTTCGTGCTCACCATCATCCTGGTGGCCAGCCTGCCCTTCGTGCAGGACCACCAGAAGAAGAGCCTGGTGGCCACACAGGTCTTCTTCCTTGTGGGCACCTTCGGGCTGTTCTGCCTGACCTTCGACTTCATCGTGGGGCCGGATTTCTCCACCTGCACCTCGCGCCGCTTCCTCTTCGGCGTCCTCTTCGGCATCTGCTTCTCCTGCCTGCTGGCGCACGCCGTGGCCCTCAACTTCCTGGCACGGCACAACCGTGCCCCGCGGGGCTGGGTGACGCTGGCGGTGGCCCTGTCCCTCTCCTTGGTCGAGGTCATCATCAACGCCGAGTGGCTCATCATCACGGTGGCACGGCCCGAGGGTGGTTCCACGGACCCCTGCCAGCTGGCGGACGCTGACTTCGTCATGGCCCTCATCTACGTCATGGCCCTGCTGGTGGCCGCCTTTGGCACGGCCTGGCCGACCCTCTGCGGCCGCTACAGCCGCTGGCGCAAGCACGGCGCCTTCATCCTGGCCACCACCGGCCTGTCTGTGGCCATCTGGCTGGCGTGGACCATCATGTACTTGTACGGGAACCAGCGTGCCGGCCACAAGCCCGGCTGGGATGACCCCACGCTGGCCATCGCGCTGGTCTGTAACGCTGCCACCTTCCTCCTGCTCTACGTCATCCCCGAGGTGACACACGTGACACGGCGCAGCCCCGAGCAGGCCTTCGAGGACGATGGCTACCCCACACGTGGGGTGGGCTACGAGACCATCCTCAAGGAGCAGAAGTCACAGAGCATGTTCGTGGAGAACAAGGCCTTCTCCATGGATGAGCCATCCTTTGGTAGGGCTCGCCAGGGACCCTCTCACCCCATGGCAGGGCTGCCAGCGGGCACCATCCTCCTGGGGACCCTGGGGGATGTCCCCACCGGGGATGGCAGTGGTGGGGGGGGGTGACGAGACGTCTGGCAGTGACCTGCCCGGCACTGGCGCCTGCTGCTGTTGTGGCTCCCGAGAACTGGGCGGGCTGGGTGTACCAGTTTGGGCTGAGCCCAGCAGCCGCAGGGAACTCCCTCCCTGGCGTGGGGTGCCCGCGGCTCCTGCCCCTCTGCCCCAGGCCCACGAGACCCTGCAATAACACGGGGTGGTGACAGTCCCAGTGGGTATCATGGGCGGGCACGCCAGGTGTCTGTGCCCCGTGGGGGAGGGAGGGTCCCCCTGAGCAGCACCTGCACCCACGAGACCCAACAATAACAAGCCGTGGCCAGGCAGCAGCGATGCCATCCCTGGGGACAGGAGTGTCCCACAGGAAAGGCACAGAGCTGCTGAGTCAGCTCGTTAAAGCTGCTAACGAGGTACAGGGAGCCCCAGTGGGGTGGCAGTGGCTCCGTGGTGACTGTCCCCATGTCTCAGCAGCCAAGAAGCCGGTGTCCCCATACAGTGGCTACAATGGGCAGCTGCTGACCAGCGTCTACCAGCCCACAGAGATGGCTCTGATGCACAAAGGGACGGTGAGTGTGACACCAGGGCTGGCCACATCCTGCCAGGAGAGACGGGCATGGGGAACAGGGTGTAGGTGGGAAGCTCCTCTGAGCTTCCCTGTGTCCCAATGGCTGCTGTAATGGGGTGGGGACCTTCCAAGCCTTCCACCTCATGGGGTTAGGGTGTTCCTGGTGCTGTGACCTTCCACCCCCGTGTCTGTCCCTCAGACTGAAGGTCCCTACGACGTGATCCTGCCCCGTGCCTCCACCAGCCCCATGCCTGGCAGTGCCAGCTCCACGCTCCGAGCTGAAGACGCCTTCGCGGCGCAGGCCCGGCACTCCAGCATCCCGAGGGACACCCGCAGCTGCCAGGTGGGTGAACGGTGGCTGCAGCAGGGGCAAAGTCCTGCCCTGCCGTGGTGACGGCTCTGCCTGGCACCCAGAGCTCCCCCCGGTGGATCACATGTCCGTGGTGCTGGTGCCACCGCAGTGCCACCCCACTCTGCCCGCAGGTGCAGTCCCCATACAGCAGGAACCGGTGGTGAAGCCCCCGTGACGCAGCTCCCGTGGCACAGCCGTGGCCCCTCCATCCCGCACCCCAGGGCTCGCCAAGCCTCATCCCACCCTGACGTGTGAATCCCACCCCGGCTGGCAGCCAGAGCTGGTTCCTGCCCGTGGCATTCCTGGACACATTCCCAGAGCCAGCGCTCCCACCTGCCCGTCCCACCTGGCCATGGACCCCACATCCCTGCCTCAAGGACTGGCTCCGGTGGGGACACGCCCATTTGTCGCCTCGCTGCCTTTGTGATGCACAGACACCCCAACTTCCCCACGCCGTGGACCCTGCAAAGCTGGGGGGCCCGTGGGACCCCCACCCAGGGCACCCTCAGCACCGAGCCCCTGGCCCCACGCTGACCCCCCCAGCCCTGGGGACCCCGAGCTGAGCTGGGCCCATGCCACTGCAGGGCATAAGGAGACACAAAGCTGTCCCAAGCTCTGACTCCTTCTGTGCCTCTGTTTCCCCATTTCTGGGAAGGGGGTTCTGCTGGGGGTCCAGGGGATCAGTGCCTTGCTGGGGCTGGGGACCAGCCCCCCACAGCTCTGGCCACCCTCTCGGTGCCTTCCCCCCTCGGGGCTCGGGAACCCCTGCAGGGAGTGGGGAGGGAGCTGGGCCCCTCGCCCTCCCTGTGGCTTTCTCTGTCAAATTTCCTTTTTTTCAGGTCACCCCAATAAAGGTGGTTTTTCCTACGATGCTGTCACAGGTGGGCTGTGATGGGGGTCCCAGGTGTCCCCAATCCCACTGGCTGCTCCCATAGGCCCAACCCCATGCTCCCATTTAGGACAGTGAGCACTGGGGGGGCTCTGGGCAGGGTCCTCAGCACCCCCATCCCCCCATCTGGGGCTGCTGGGCTGGGATCCCGTGGGCAGATGGTGCCGGGCAGGAGGTGGCACAACACGGAGGACGTGCCAAGGTCGTGGTGGTTTTCCCGCTCGGATTGCCTTCCCCTCCACAGCCATTCCTCCTCCTCCGGGCAGGAAGCCTGCGGCCAGCAGTGCCATGAATTATTCAGGGTTGGAATGGCTCCGTGGGGGCAGCGGGTGACCCGGTCTCCTTGAGCTGGAGCCGGGATGGCGGCGCTGGGGCTGCCGGTGGGCAGCGTGTGCCCTGCGCGGTGGCCACACAAGGGACACGCAGCGGGAGTGTGGCACTCGCCACGTCCCGGCTGTGCCTTTAGCTGGCACGAGCCCACGCTCCCGGCTCCGGGGACACGGCTGCGGGTGTTTGCAGCAGGATGTTTGCGTGCCCCCCGGGCTGTGCTGCGTCAGCCGTGTTTACCTGTCACCTGTGTTTACCTGGTGCCGAGCGGCAGCGGGGACATTGCCCAGCTGCACCAGGCACTCGGTGTCACCAGGGCTACTGTCACCACAACACGCCCTCCTCCCGGCCGCGGGCACCGCATGGCACAGCGCGTGATCCCCCAAAGGCACCTCCACCTTCCCGGGGACATCCTGGGGACAGCAAAGCCACCCGAAAAACAAGGTGCAAAGACTGCGGCGCTCCGGCGTGGCAGGGGACAGCGGAGCGGCTCCGGGGCCGTGCCCAGCCCCTCCGGAAGAGCGGGATCCCACCGGCCCCGCCAGCGCCGGCCGCAGCGCGGGGCGGCCCCGCTCCAACAGGGAACGCTTTGTGCCGGCGGGGCCGCGGAACAGCGGAGCCTTTGTCCGGCCAGGTGAGGCAGACACGGCTGCGCCGAGCCGGGAGCAGCCCCGGAGCCTCTCCGGAGCCGGGGGTTGCCCGGGGGGGGTCGCAGAGTGGTGGCAGGTGGCACCGGGGTGGTGGCAGCACACCTGGCACCGGGGTCACCGTGACCAGGGCCAGGCAGGGACACGGGCAGCGATGCCAAGGGCAGGGCTGTGTGTGTGGCTGCAGCCCCGGGGCTCAAGCAGGGTCACCAATAGTGACAATAAAGGCAAGTGACAATGCGCAGGTGAGTCCTGTGGCACGCTCCATGTCCCCAGCACTGCCTCACTGTCCTCCCACTGGGCTGAGCTGGCCAGGCACTAGGGTCTCCTCATGGCTGAGAGGCTCCTGGCCCCACCAGAGCCCTGCCAGGGCTGTGACATGCCTGGGACTGCCACCTGCCAGCACAGCAGTGTCCCTAAGGAATCCCTAAGGAATTGGGAGCACAGACACGCTCACACCACCGGCTCCCACTGGCACTTTTTACTCCAAGCAGCTCCGTGGCACCGCAGGGACCCCACCCCAGTGCTGAGCCGCAGAGTGTGGAGCTGTGGGAAGCCCCAGGGCTCAGCGGCGGCACAAGAGCATCAGGGCAATGTCTCTCTGGAGTCCCAAGGTCCTCAGCCTGGACCGGCCCGGGCACGCTCCCGCTCCAGCTGTTTGCGCCTCTGGATGTCCCTGTAGGCCTGGATGACGCGAGCCCGCTCCTCCTCCAGGATGCGCTGGCGAGCCATGGACATCACCGGGGACACAGGGGACACAGGGGACGCCTGGCTCTGGCCCAGGCGAGGCGTCAGGAGGAGCTGCTTCCGTCCAGCCTGCAGGCAGAGATGGGCCAGCTCAGGGATGAAGGATGAGACACCGGGACTGCACTCCAAGGAGCTGTCACTGTCTCACCGAGGCCACTGCCACTGTCCCAGGTACCCAAGGGGCGGGTGGCATTGTACCCAAAACTCACCTGCTTGGCAGGACCCTGTCCCCTGGGCCGTGAGGTGATGGTGGGTGGCTGTGTCACCACCTCTCCAAATGGCACCGTATCTGCAAGGGAAGGGGGAGCCAGGGTCAGTGGGAGACCCTCGGGGTGCCCAGCCCAGCTCCTCACCCTGTGCTGGGGGTCACTTCAATCCCCCCACTCCATTCCCACCTTGGAACAGGCTCTTCTCCAGCATGGCCTCCTTCTTCTCCTCCTTTTTCTTCCGAGCTTTTTCCAGCTTCCTTTTCTGAAACCTGAAGAGCCACATTACAGCTCAGGCTCAGGAGTGGACAGGGAGCAAGGAATGAGTCCCTACCCAACGGGAGCCCCCCACATCCCACAGCTTTTCCCCCAGGAGGATGAAGCAGGCTTGTGGCTCTGTTCCCAGAGATCCATCCCCACGGAAAGGGGGCTCACAGACCCCACCTGCACCCCCACCTGCTGCCAAAACCAGACCTGCCCTGCAGAACTGGGCAAGGGTTCAGGCACAGGTATGGCCTGGCCCCATCCGGCTCCCACGGCCTTGCTCTCACTCTTTTTTCCTTTTGGATTTCTCTGGAGCCATCGCCTCCTTCTCAGGCTCCCGCTGGAGCTGGTTCTCCGTGAGGAAGAGGACACGCTGCACCTCCCGCTCCATGCGGCAGATGTAGGAACGCTCCGACTCCCCCTTGCCCCTCCGGAACTTGGGCACGGGAATGTCCCCCGGGGTCTTGGGACCCTTGGACTCCTGCTGCTGTCTCTTCTCTAGGAGAGACGGGCGACATTTCTGCAGAGGTGACACCAGGGGGGTCCCTCCGGCTGGCAGAGCACCGGGGGAGGATGTCCCATGGCAGGATCCAGCCATGCCATGGGCTCCTGGGCCAGGCCTTGGCCACCTGCTCGGGCCACCTGCGTGTCCCACCTGCCGCCCTCTTCTTCCCAGGATCCGGGCGCTTCAGGGCCTCACGGCTCCGCATGAGCTCCCGCAGGCGGAACGGGATCTCCTGCTCGTCGGGGTGTTTGGGCTTCATGTTGTCCTTCTTCTCCTTCCTGGGGAAAACGAGAATAGTGACAGGACTCCAGGGAAGCACCAGGGCCTGGAAGCTGGGACACTGGGTCCAGATAGGGAAGGATGCTGGGATTTGAGCACGGTGGGAAACTGACACTCAGACACGGCTGGACACCAGGACCGAGGCATGGGGAGACATCAGGGTTAGCACGGGCAGACATCGGGACCCGGGCACGGGTAGAGATCAGGACACAGACGCCGAGAACGGGAGCCCTGCCAGGGCCCACCCGCGCCCCGAGACCCCGCGTAGGTCCAGGTCCCAAACCGGGAGTGAGCCCGATTGGATCCCGCGGGCACTGACCTGCTGCGCAGCGGGACGGCCGCTCCATGTTCCGATCCTGCTCGCGCTTTCTGTCCCGGTCCTGTCTTCTGTCCCGGTCCTGTCTTCTGTCCTGGTCCCGCTTTCAGTCCCGATCCCGGTCTCTGTCCCTGTTTCGGTCCCGATCCCGGTCTCTGTCTCTGTTTCGGTCCCGATCCCAGTTTTTGTCGCGGTCCCCGAGCCGGTTTCTGTCCCTGTCCCTGTCCCTGTCCCCGTCCCGGTCCCGGTGCCCGGGCCATGATTCCGCCACTCCTCATGTGGCCGCTCCGCCGCCACTTCCGGATTTCTGGCCCCGCTTCCTATCGCTTATTGGACCAACCTTCCCCACCGCCCCCGCCTTGCTGCGCTCTCCGGGTCGCTATTGGCTGGGAGAGCTGTCACTCAGAGAGGGGGCGGGGCCAGGGCCTGCGGCCGGATGCTGCTGCGGGGGGCGCGGGGGCTGGCGGGGGCGCGCCGGGGGGTGAGCGGGGACAGGGGGGACATGGGGGGACAACGAGGAGCTAGGCACCGGGGGGACACGGGGAAATCCTCGGGAGGGGCAAAGAGGTGTGCTGGGCGTTAGATGTGAACGAGGACGGGGGGCAAGGGGGTGCTGGAGCGTCATGGGGGGTGCTGGGGATGGCGGGGGACAAGGGGGCTTGGGGGATGTGGGGACAAGGATGGAGTGGGGGGGACAAGGATGTGTTGGGGACATGGCTGAGGGGGGTACAAGGGGAGCAGGGCAGGAATTGGGGGTGTTGGAAGGGGGCGATGCCGGTGCTGGGGAGGGGGGTACACTGGGAGCAGGGGGTTCCTGTGGCTGAGTTGGGGGTACAGCAGCTCCGCCGTGCCCCCCAAAATTTACACCAGCATTGGGGGTCTCCTCCTTCCCTGCAGCCCCCAAACAACCCCAGAGAAGGAACCCCAAGCCCCCACCCTTGCAGCCCCCGGGGGCATTCGGACACCACAGCAAAGGCCGGTAGCACCTCGGACACTCCGGGCGGGGACAGCGGGACAGCCACCCCTAATGGTGACAGGGGGGACCCTCCTGCAGCCCCCCCAGTGCCCCCCCCGCCCACCCACTGCTGCGGGACCGGCTGTCCCAACTGTGTGTGGGTGGCGTACGTGGAGGAGCTGCTGGAGCGGCACCGGGACGGCGGAGCCCAGGCCTTGGCAGCCGTGGAGCAGCACGTGGAGGACGAGAACATCAAAATGATCCTCAGGATGGAGATCAGGCTGCGTGCCAGGAAGGACTGAGCCTCTCCCCCCGGGGCCTCCCAGACTGGTGGGGGACATCCCTGGGGTGACAGGGTCTGGATTTGGGTTATTTATAGTGTTTATTGTGTGCTGAGCACGGGATCCCAGGGGTGTCACGCGAGGTCGGGTCACCTCCAGGTGCTGTCTCAGGCCTGTTCTGAGCCCCGGATTTCCCAGGAGCTGGATGCTGTGCCCTCCCCTAGCATGGCAAATCCCTGCCAAGGGCAGGCTGGGGCAGCCCTCCTCCTCCTCCTGTGCTCCCAGCTGGAATTTAAGCACCTTGGGGGGATTTTCAGCACCTTGGCCGTGCCCTGGTGATGGGGAGGGCTGGGGGGCTGTGCCAGACTGTGCCCCAGTGGCACCACAAAGCCTCTTAGGGGGGAGGGCTCGGAGGGGACAGCGTGTGGCAGCGAGCACGTGGGAAGCAGCAGCCTCCTGTCAAGGACACTGGCCCTGTCCCTGGTGTCACATCCTGCCAGGCTCCTCATCTTAAATCCCCATAAACTTGTCCCAAACCCGCCCTACATCCTCGGGGAACTTGCAGCTATTGAGACCCACACAGACCCCCCACACCGTTCTGGGACGAGGTCCTCAAGAAGCCACCAAGCCCTTGAGTGTCACTCACTAATGAACCCCAATTAACAGCCAGGCTCTGCTCTCTGCCAGGGTAGTAGGTGGTTCTCCATGGAAAACACTCCTGCATCCCTTTAATCCTATTTGTTAGAGCCCAGCTAATTGCAATTAGTGGCAAGGGCTGAAGTTCAATTAAAGTGTGCCGAGATTAGTCTGTTTTTAATTGCTTTAGTGCTGGATTAGGGAAGCTTTGGAGTGACACCGATTGTGGGCAGGGTCTGCCAGACCAGGACCCCTACCCAGACTGGGATGGAGGCTGGAATGGGGTTTCCATCACTCCCTTTGGGGTCAGGGGACACTGGGGGAATCTCTTTGGGAATGGGATCCCCCAGGAGTGGAGGCAGGATTCCCCCCACGTGGGATCCACTGCCCACCCAGCCCGGTCAGGGCTAATCCTGACACCTCCTCCCCCCCAGAGCAGAGGAAGGACACTGGATTACCCCTGGGGAAAGAAGGGAGGTAAATAATCCTATTACCCCCGGGCAGGATAAATCTCCCTCCCCGAAAAGCCCCCCAGAACATCTCCAGGCTGCAGGACGGAGGGAACCGGGCAGAGGGAGCAGCTCGGGAATTGGGAATCGTGGGACTCTGTGAGTCAGGGATTCTGGGCTGGGAGGGGACGTGGGGTTGCTTTGCTGCTTTTCCTGCATCCAGGAACATCTCCCTGGGTTGGATCCTTGTTCCCAGAGCCGTGTCCAGCTCTGCAGGAGGGGAAAATTCCTCATACTGGTCCCAGAGCTGGGCTTGTGCTACAAAATTCCCACTGCTGGTGCCTTGGGCCATCCTCTGCTCCCCCTTCCCAGCCTGGGGTACCCACCACCCCCACACCCTGGCACAGACCTGGGGCAAGCTATGGGAGGGTCCTGGCAGTGCCCTGGGGGTCCCCTGGTTGTCTGGGGTGGGGGATAAGCGAGGAAGGAGCAGCAGCAGCCCTGGTGCCCCTCAGGATTCCCTTCCCTACCTTTGGGGATTAATGGCTGAGCTGGGCTCAGCATTGTGGGGAGGGGGCTCTGCAAAACCCATCAGGGGCTGGGTGGGCACAGGGTGGGAGGAGAAGCTGGTGCCCCCCATTTCGTTGCAGAGGGTGTGAGGAGCTATCCTGTGCCAGCACCAGACCCCCAGGGAACGCCGTGAGCCGGGGCTGCCAGCCCCCCACAGCCATGAGCCTGGAGCCCCCCAAGCTGGAGGTCAAATCGGCCACCAGGGTGACCGGGGGTCCTGCCACCCCCCGCAAGGGACCCCCCAAGTTCAAGCAGAGGCAGACGAGGCAGTTCAAGAGCAAACCCCCCAAAAAGGGGGTGCAGGGGTGAGTGGAGAAGGGCCCTGGGCTGGGGTGGGTTCCTGCCTGGGGTCAGGCCAGACAATCCCTCTTTCCTTGCAGGTTCGGTGACGACATCCCAGGCATGGAGGGGTTGGGAACAGGTATGGGAATGCCACCCCTTTGGCAGTGGGGGGGTCAGGGGTTGTGGGGGGGTCACACTGCCACAACCCCTGTCCCCTCTCTCCTCAGACATCACTGTCATCTGTCCCTGGGAAGCCTTCAGCCACCTGGAGCTGCACGAGCTGGCTCAGTATGGAATCATTTAGGATTTGGGCAGGCTCACCAGCCCCGTAGTGCTGTGTAGGTCAAGGCCCCCCTACCTGTGCTGGGGGGGCTTAGCTTGGAAAAATGCTCATTAAACCCAAACGAACCCAAGAGTCAGTGTTGTGGGCTGGGGAGGAGGGAAATCATCACCCACGGCCTGGGGTGGGATGGGCAGGACACAGATGGGTTCAGGATTCTGCCAAGGTTTATTTGGGGCTGGACCAGCACCCCAGACATCCCCAAATCCCCACCCCTCACTCCCACACCTGGACAGCTGCACACCTCAGCAGCAGCACCGGTGGCAATGGTGGCACAGACACGACACGGGTGGGTTCAGGATTTTGACGACGTTTATTTGGGACCAAACCATATCCCAACCCCCCACGTTGCCCTCACTCCCACACCCTCACAGCTGTAATATCCTTGAGCACCCTCAGTGCCATGAGTGCTCCCACAGCCTCCAGCAGCAGCAGGATGGTGGCACCAGCAGCGATGGCCCCAGCCTGGCCCCGCAGCCACGCGGTCAACGCGGCCCCACAGCCCCCCGTGTGCACCACAGCCCCAGCTGCTGCTGCCCCCAGCCCCAGCACCCCAAATCCACACTGGATGTTGGGCACAGAGCCATTCTCCAGCGGGTCCTGGCAGCAGGAGGCAGGGACACCACACGCCTGCACACCTGGGGCGCTGCAGTTGAAGTACCTGCGGGATGGACATGGAAATGTGGGGTCATGAACATTTGGGGTGTGGGGATGGGGTCACTCACACCCCCAGCGTCAGAACCGCACACCAGCCGTGGGTGCCAGTTCATCCCTCTCTTTTCTGAGCCATGCTGGGGCTCCCACCACCCCAAGAGTCCCCAGCACAGACCCCACAAGGAACAGGGGGGTCTTCAGCCCCATGGTGGGGATGGAGTCCCACAAAGGAGGTTTTCAGCCCTGTGGTGTGGATGGGGTACCCCAGTACACCCCCCTGGCCCCGACTCACGGGTTGCTCTCCCAGTCACGGTAGAACTCGAGGCCGCAGCACTGGAGGCTCCGCTGCACCTCATCCACCAGGAACTGCAGGTCAGGATCGTCCTGGTAGCGCAGGAGGCAGAGCAGCAGCAGATCCCACAGCGCATCCCGCAGCCGCCGCCGTGCCAGCAGCAGCAGGAGCCCCCCCAGCACCTCCAGACCCCCAAAAGCCAGCACAGCACCCAGGAAGAAGCGCAGCAGGCAGGGGCTGGCTCGGAAAGCACCCAGGCAACCAGCCAGGGACACAGCGCTGGCCCCCAGCCCTGCCAGCACAAAGAGCAGCATGGGGTCTGAGCTCAGGGGTAGCCCCCCGGGCAGGGGGCTCTTGGCCAGCAGCCCCCAGATGCCCACAGCGAGGGTCAGCAACCCCAGCAGGAGGAAGAGGAGGTTCCAGAGGAAGGCTAGGTAGCGCACACAGTGGCTGAAGGGGCTCAGTTTGGGGGGGTCAGGGTACCACACCCCGGGGTCCTGCTCAGCCGTGTTGTCGTCCTCAAACGAGGACGTGTCATCATCATCAAACGAGGAGTAGGGCAGCTCCACCAGCCTGGATGCCTGCACGGACAGAGGAGCCACTCACAGCCCCCCGGAATTGTTCCTCCAGCTCATGGTGCTCGTCCCACAGCCGGACACTGTCCCGGGCTCCTGGAGCCACCCTACACAGCCTTGCTTAGCCCCAAACCCACCCCTGCTCATCACGGTGGTCTGCAGGGGCGCACCCCAAAGACTCCGACCCTAAGGGACCCCCAGATCCATCCCTATGGAGACCCCCAGGGATGCAGCACCCTGCTACCCAGGGGTGGGGGAACATGGGGTGCACGGGTAAGGGGTCCCGGGATTACCTGGGGCAGGAGCCGGGTGCCCTCCCCGTGGGACTGGAACAGGCGGACTCTGCTCAGCGCCATCGCCGTTACCTCGTGCCCGGACCGATCACACTACCATCATGTGAGGGGCTGCGGGCGGGCTTAAATGAGGCTGTGCATGCCCATCGCCACAGCTGGCCCCGATCTCCCCCTGATCCACAGCTGGAGCCGATCCCTCTCTCCAGCCCCGCGGGGCCCCTCCGAGGGCACCGGGGGGGGTGCTGGTTGCGTGCGGAACTAAAGTGCGAGCGCGGCGGCGGGAGGGGACACTTATATATGTAACACCGAGGCAGCATAGGGGACCATTATGGCCGTGACACCGAGGCAGCACGGGGGGACGACTGGTGGTGACGCCGGGGTAGGAACCTTGGTGCGGCGGAACGCGGACGCGGGGCGCGGGGCCCGGGGGGGGGCGGGCGCGAGGGCGGGCCGGTCCCGGGAGGCGGCGGGCCGGGCCGGGAGGAGCCGGGAAGGGCCGGGAAAGGCCGGGAAGGGCCGGGAGAAGCGGAGCGGGACGGGCCGGACCGGGCCGTGTCTGTGCGGCGCGGCGAGCCCCGGGCCCGTGGGCAGCGCCATGGCCGAGACGATTGTGAGTGCGGCCGGGGGAGGGGCGATGAGGCAGCAGATTCCTGTGGGGCCGGGACGCGGCACCGGGACGGGGGGCCGGGGCCGGGGCCGGCGGTGTCCGGGCCGGGCAGCGCCCCGAGCGGCGCCGCGGGCGAGTCTCCCGTGCTTTTCCGCACGGGGGTCGGGGCCGTGAGCCCGTGGTGCAGTTCAGCGGCGGGCAGGGGGCTCGGGCCGGGTGGAGAAGGGGCTGCTCGCTCCGGTGAAGGGCTCCCGGCCCCGTCCCGGCGGGTTTGTGCCCGTGAGGGAAGTTGGGAGAGTGGAAAGGGGCTCCTGAGGGGTGACGGCCAGCTGCTTGTGTCCCCTGCCGTGCCCGTGTCCCCGTGTCACACCGGAGCAGTTGAGCGTCCCCTTTAGAACTGCTCGAGTCCCCCTCAGCGCTCCGGGGACAGCGATATTTACATTTGTCCCTTTTCTGCCTGTCCCCGGTGGATTCCCCTCGCCCGTTCCCCCCGGATCTGCAGCTGCTGCCGTGCAGGAGCTCAGGTTTCCCGGGAGCAGCTGGAGCTCCGTGGCTCTCCCCCCTCCCTCGTTACCGGGGCTCAGCCACGACCAGTGCAGTGCCCAGTAACACCAGTTGGGCCGGTGCCTGTGTGAATAACTCCCCTTGAAAGGTCTGATCCACCCTCCTGAAGGTCTAATTCCATCTCTGAGGTCAAAGCTTTGGCCAAAGGTGTTTTCCTTGGAGCCGACTCGTGCCAAGAGGCCGGAGCGTTGCAATGGTTCCCCCATGTCACAGACTCCCCCAGAACTGCTCTCCTGGGTGTTCCCAGGCCCTGTGGACGATGGAAACAGGAGGGAGGAGTGGGGGACATCAGGGTGGGCTCTGTCCCACTTCCCTGACTCAGTGTTCCCTCATTCCCAGATTATCCGTGTGCAGTCACCAGAGGGAGTGAAGAGAATCACAGCCACGAAGAGAGAAACAGTGGGAACGTTCCTCAAAAAGGTACCCCAGGATCCACAGTGCCTTCCCATGGATGGGGCAGGGCTCCCGTGGCTCTGTCCCGTGGGAGATCTGTGTTTAACACCCCTGGCAGCAGCAAGGAACAGCATTCCATGTGGAAAAACGCACTTTGATTGGGGTAGCTTGTGTTGTCCCAGAGGGAAAATAACAAATTCACAGAAAAAACTCCCTCAGCTGGGAGTCGGGGATTCCTAGGGTGGGAACTTTCCTGGGAAGAACTTTTTGGGGTTCTCCCAAAGAAGTGGTAGCTGGGAAGCAGAAGGGAAGCTGTGGGATGGTCAAACCTGCTGTTCCAGCTGGGTTCCAGGCTGGCTCAGCTGCTGGATTTGGGCTTGGAATACGGTTTGGATGTGCTGTGTGTGCTCCTGGTTTTCCAGTCTGGATTTAGAGAGAGCAAGGGAGGGATGGAGTGAGATCTCAGGAGCTCTTGGCTCTGCTGTGATGCAGCTGCTCTGTATTCTTCAGGAGTGAGCAGTTCTCCCTTTGCTTCCCTCCTGGAATTCCTCTGGAGCCGGTTCTTTGCTCCATTAGGTGTATTCCCAAAGGGAATGGGAGCAGGTGGAAACCTTCCCTTTGTGAGTCACAGCTTTGTCTGAAGCTGTGGCCCAGACAGGACAGCATTCCCTGACAGCATTCCCACCTGGCCAGGAAAAATCCTGATGTTTTTCAGGGCTGGCTCAGGGACACTCCCTGAGTCTCTGAGCAGCCTCAGCCAAGGCAAGAGGAGCTCCCAGGATCTCTGGAGCCTGTGCAGAATCAGCTGCTGCTTTCCAGGGCTCAGGTTACCTGAGGGAACAATCAGACTGGAAAACACTTCCTGCCAGGACAAAAGCACCTGGAATTGCCTGTTGATCCGGGGAAGGCTCTGTGCTCTGGCTGAGCTGGAGCAGAGACATGTTTGGGTTTATTTCCTGCTGCAGGATTTGCTTGGAAGAGGAAAGTGGCAAATTTTCCCACTTGAGGTCTGTGTTTTATCTAAATCCAGGTTTCTCCTACCTTTGCTGTGGATTTGAAGGCCAGAATGTTCACCCAGGGGCTGGGTTTGGTGTTTAGGGGGACAGCTGGAATTAGAGAGGTGTCAGATTGCTGCTTCCATACCAGGAATTACCCTGGATCTGCTCCAAAAGTACTCCGGGAATAAAGGGCTGGAGAATCTTCTCTGTCTCCTGTGGCACATCCTGTGGAAAAGCACCAAAAAAAGTCATTCTGGGTGTGCTCAGGATCAGGAATTAACTCCAAACTGCTGTTAATGTGCTGTGGGATTTGTCTGCCCCCAAAAATGGAATTCTGTGGCCTGAGGAGCAGGAACTGATCCCTGTGAAAGGGTCCCATTCACAGGGATTGCTCTGTGCTGCAAATCACAGCCAGGCTGACAGGAAAAAAACTGCTTTTCATGGCTCTGCTCATGTGACAGCTCTTCATGGCTCATCACATTTGTCCTGTGGGCAAGATCCTGTCCCTGACTCTGACCAGAGCCATGAGGATTGTTTTTATTAAAAAAAATAAAGGCCTTTTACTTCAGAATTTAGGGCACAACCTGGCAAATAGACAAACTTTCAACACCACTTCGAAACTGATGAAGTTCTCAAGGGGCTAAATGTGCAAATTATTTTTTTCTGGGAAGAGGTGTTGGAGTGATTCCAAGTAAACCAGACTTAATCTGAGCTGGGAGAACCTGCCTGGGGACAGGGGTGGCTGCTGTGAGAGTGAATTCCATGGGAGAGAGGAGGAAAGGGGGGAAAATGGGACAGAACAGCAGGAAGAGATTGAGTGAAGCAGCTGGGAGGTGGGAATGGAGCTGAGGGCAAAAGATGCACAGAAGTGAAGGAGATGATTGTGAAATTCTGGTTGCAGGAGGATTGGAATGACTTGGTGTGTGCTGGTGCAGCTGGAGCAGGAAAACTGGGATCATGGAGAAGTTTCCCCCTCCAGTCATGCAGTGCTTGCCTGGCTCTAGCTGAAACTCTGCATTTGTGTTGTGTGAGGCAGAGACAGTTCTGGTCAAGTTGTTTAAGCTCCTGCTTTAATCCATTGCTTGTCTTTCCAGGTGTTTCCATCTCTTGTTATCCCGAGCTCAGGAACGGGGGTGAATTGAGCTGAATTTCTGCAGGAGAAGTTCTCTGGGATTAGCTGTGGCTCTGAGCCTCTTTCAGAAGGCTCACACCTCACACCTTGTCCCTTTTCCGTGTGTTCCAGGTGGCCAAGGAGTTTGGGTTCAGGAATAATGGCTTTTCTGTGTACACCAACCGGAACAGGACCGGGGAGATCACGGCAGCACAGAACAAATCCCTCAACCTGCTCAAGATCAAGTGAGTCCTCACCGGGAGGGGAGCTCTGCTTGGAGCTTCCAAAATGGGAAAAGTCACATCCCAGGAGTGCCCAGCTTCCAGTCTGGGATTGGGGAGGGAGGGCCTTGGTGGCTGTGCTGGAATGGAAGGTCCCAGTGACACAGGAGAGGTGGTGGCTGTCCCTTGGGTCCCTCCATGGGGTGTGTTTGCTGTGGGGAGGCTTCACCCTGGACTTCCTTCCCTAATCCCTGCTTTCACCTCTTTGTCCCAGCTTTCCCTGCCTCATCCCCACTTTCCCTCTCTCATCCCCAGCTGTCCTACTGAATCCCTGTTTTTACCCTTTCATCCCTGCTTTCCCTCCCTCTCCCTCCTTTCCCTACCTCATCCCAGCTTTCTCTCCCACATCCTTGTTTTCACTCCTTCATCCCAACTCCCTCCTCCATATTTTCCCCTCAGCTTTGTCTCCTGATGGAAGGATTTGCATTTTTTGCAAATAAAAGCAGGAAGAGGTGGCTCACAGAGCAGCTTCCACCTGTGCTGCTCTGGTAGGAATCTGTGCCACATTCCATGCTCTTCTCACATTCCATGGAACTTGTCAGGGAAGCACCTGCAGCTTTCTGGGTGCTGTCTCCCACACCTGCCGCTACCCTTGTGCTGTTTCCCACCCTGCAGGCACGGGGATATGCTGTTCCTGTATCCCTCCAGCCCAGCTGGCTCCTCCTCAGAGACCATGGACACCTCTGTCTCCCAAAATTCCCGGCCTGGGGGAGCCCCTCAGGTGGTGGAAGATGAGATTGACCAGTACCTGATCAAGCAGGATGGGAAGATTTACCGGAACCGAGACCAGCAGCTGTAAGTGGGGCTGGGTCTCACCAGAGCCTGGAATGTGATGGCCCAGCCCAGCAGTCAGGGAATTTCTGTGGGAACTGCCCTTGGCTCCATCCCGAGTGCCCTGGGGACATTCTCAAGGGAAAACAGCCCCTGCTGTTTTCCTGGGAGGTTCAATGGAGCCCTCCTGAGCCCAGGGAGGAAGCAGATGCCCAAATCCCAGGATTTTTGGCAGTTTTCACTCAGAACAGCCATTGTTCTGATGGAGACCCTGGTGCTCGAGCTCCTGGATTTTGTGCTCCTAAAGCATGTGGAATTCTCTAGATGATAATGAACTT